ACAAAAAGTAGTCGGGCGTCTTGGCAGGTGCCTATAATCCCAGCTACTTCGGAGGCTGAAGCAGGAGAATCACTTGAACCTGGGAGGTGGAGGTTGCAGTGAGCCAAGATCATGCCACTGCACTCCAGCCTGGGCAACAGAGCCAGACCTTGTCTCAATAAACAAACAAACAAACAAACAAACATAATGGGAGCCAATGGAAGGTGTTCCCACTGGGAGATGCTTCCATATGCCACAGGGGGCCAATATCTGATGTTTGCTTAATTTTCAACCCGTTCATGGTGCAGACGAGGAAACCAGACTAAGAAGGGAGTGACTCCCTAGATACAGCACCAGTGCCCAGCCTGTCCCACTTGTATTCCGGGCTGTGTCTCACCTCTGTTAGAAGTTTCTTTCCTCACAGTTGTAAAGGCCAGAGGCCCAAAATCCAGGGGTCAGCAGGGCCCTGCTGTCTCTGAAGACCCCTTCCCTTCCTAATCCTTCCATCTCGAAGTCTGTGCAGTAGCTAACAAGTTTTGTAGTATTGTCTCACAGTAGCATGGTGATGTCCCCAGGAAGTAGATGTTAGAACCATCCCCATTGTGCAGGTCGGGAGACTGGGGAGGCCCTGAAAGGCACAATGACTAGTTTGGGATCACAGAACTGGCAAGATGCAGCAGCTTGGTGACCCAGATGGCTTTCCCTTTCTGAGCCTCAGGGGCTGGGAGCATGAGAACACAATGGTTGGCTGTCCCAGCTCCCAGAGTGGCTGTGAGTACCTGGAAGTGCCCCTTGTCCCCCCTCACACACCTGCCATCGCTCTCCTCATTTCCTTAACCCCCAGCACTGCTGCCACTTGATTTTTATGAACATCTGAATATGACGAAGTAGCAAAGGCGGATATTCGCTCATTCATTTTGCATCTGTCTCCTGGGTCCAGGCCATGCCAGAGGAGGGGGTAACACAGTCCGGGGAGTTGCCAGGGGAAGGGGCAGTGCTCATCTGGGGAGTGAGTGGGCACAGAGAGATTCCAGAAGGAGGTGTCCTGTGGTCATGGTTGATTCGCGGAGGGGAGGTGTGATGGCGCAGAGGGCGATGACTGGGGCCGCTGTCTATCCCGTCAGTTTCCCGGGCTGCTGTCACAAAGTGCTGGGTGGCTCAACACAACAGAAATTTATTCTCTCACAGTTCTAAAGGCCCGAAGTCCAAAATCCAGGGGTCAGCCAGGCCCTGCTATCTCTGAAGGCTCTAGGAGAGGATCCTTCCTTGCGTCTTCCAACCTCTGGTGGCTGCCAGTTTCCTTGGCATTCGTTCCTGGTGTTGTAGACGTGTGACTCCAAACTGTGCCTTCATCATCACATGGCCGCCTGTGCGTGACTGTCCAATTTTCCCTGTTATCATAAGGATAGCAGTCACTGGATTAAGACCCACCCTAATCCAGTATGACCTCATCCGGTTTCAATCCGCACAGACCCTATTTCCAAATAAGATCTCATTCACGGGTACCAGGGATCTTTTTGGGGGACACAGTTCAACCCGTAACAGGAGTATTGGGAATGACTCCCTTCCCACAGGCCGGGTACCCGCGTGCCTACGAGGACTAGGGAAGCAGCGGGGAGTCGGAGGACATCCCAGGAAGCCAGCCCCCAGCTAGGGGATGTGGGGGCGTGAGCGGAGCCCTCCTGCTCCCCAGCTTGGCGCATTTTGGCGGCAGCACCAGCAGGTGGCACTGTGCACTCCCGTGCGGCCGCCCAGCCAGGCGCGGAGCTGCCGCAGACAAAGGTCTGGCTTTCGGGTTGCAAGGAGCTTGCGCACAGCTGTAAACAGGCCAGGGGCACGGCCACCTTATGGGTGAC